TAGAGTGCTCGGCCGATAATGCAGTTTGCTCTGTCGGTAATGTAGAGCGCTCGGGCGATAATACTTCACTGCATTTTTCCATACTTTTAAGAAATTATATGTAGAGCTATTGTGTATTCATGTAAATTGACTAGAAATTATTTCATACTTTTCATTGCACCTTTTTCGAAGTCGATTAAATTTTTTTTCCAAAAAATTATTTTCAAAGTAACATAACTATTGCCATACGAATAAAGAAGGATACTCTTAATCATTATAAAAACGAAATTTGTTAACACTTGTCCTTCTGATGAAAGGAGCAAATAAATATAATCTCATGGTCTTTTATTCTTAGTCCTAATTATTGTCACAAAATTTTGTTTTTATATTCCATTACAATATAATGTAAATTGCATATATTATATGATTATATCATTGATTCCTGAAGGAGGCTTTCAATATGAACCAAAACGTTTAAAAGAAAATTCAAAATTTTGTTCAGCTTTGGTCTAAAAACCAATAAGGAACATTCCAAACTACGTGATTGATACCTAACCACACCAAATACAATAAATCCTGCCTAAGGGGCGCGCAAAGTTCCATTCAAGAAATGTGTGTTTACCCCCATTACTTAAAATTACTACTGGAAATTATTAGCTCGGAGTGAGCCTCTTCGTTAGCTACATCTCATTTATCCACTGATAAGACATGTCATTACAACTCATTCAAAGCTGAAACCGATTAGAACAATATCGACCCTTTTCGATCCCTTTAACGATCTCCTGCGCTGTCTTAAAAATCTATAACGTTAATTTCAATATTAAACAGAAATTAAATTTCACCTACACGAATCCAATCATCAATTACATTTTCCTCTTTCTCTAATCATGATTTCAATGCTATGGATTCGAGTCGGCGCCTCTTAGATAGGGTTTTTTGAATATAAAAAAAGAATATATTCAAATTAGGCGAGCAAAGAACAATACATAAAATAAACATCTATCTGAATACCTGTTCAATCGAATAGATATCGTGAATAAATCCCTGTCACGTGCTTTTGTTTGCCTTCCGCTATTGGAATAAAATTTTGCCCATATCCGCTCGGAGCTCGAACTGCTTGCGACACTCCACGCTGAAACCACGGTTAAGCCTTACGCGCAACATGTACGTCGTGGCAATATTCTAGTCTCGACACGGCCCCTGCCATAATGGATCGTCGGCGAGGCTACGTGATCGGTCCTCGAGGGGAGCTGTTGGTGTTGCTGCCGTTGTTCCCGCAGTTGCTGCAGCTGATACTGTCTCGTATTCTGTCGATCTGCGAACAGACGAGCGAATTATTTGAAACGAGCCCTGCCACGGGTGCCTGTCGTCCCGTGCAACACGAACTCGATCGACCGTGGTTCGATCGTCGTCACGTTGACTTCCCTCTGTTTCAGATTGATGAGACAGAGAGATGCCTCGTTTGCGTTGCGGTTCACCGGGGCATCCGTTCGACGATAGGATGCGGTATGACTTTCAGTATGATTACGGGATAACCGTGGAGTACGAAGAGTAGCGACGGGAATGATACCGAATCGATATCATCAACGTTAGCCTGTGTCTTACTAGGGCGATGGTCTCCAATCAAATTTTCCAGATCCAAATGGTCCATTTAATGGTACCACTTAAAAAACTCAACATAAGGCGAAGACTTGGCGTTAGCTTACGTTGCCGCCACACCTGTGCCGGCATTAAAGCCATATTTAAATTGAATCGCGATATATGATATGTAAATTAGCAGGTGTAAAAAACAGTGACAATATACCTTTAATGTCTCATACTACGTAACAAAGTTTTTGTCGCGTATATATAAAAGATATATGAAATTACCCACTCGTTTAGTTCGGTTGGATCGTTCCAAGTCGATATTACCGGGGAAATATAGGAGCATGTGGCGAACGCTTTTAATCATTCTCTTCATCCTTGCAAAAGGTAACGTCGATAACATCGAGTAAAACGACCGATATAGAAAATAACATTCGTCCTTATAGAAACTACAGTAAATTTCAGAAAACAACGATTAATAAGGAATCCTTAGATACTTCGACGTTATTTTCTTTTTCTAGGTAACGCGAACGATTGCATAGCTCGTGACGTTGGTACCGATCGCATCGTATGCGTTTGCAATGCAACGTACTGCGACGGATTACCGAAAGATCATCCGGAAGTCCCAGAAGATGGAAGTGCTTACTTGTACGTATCGAACAAGGCGGGGTTGAGGCTAAATGTGTCAACTATACAATTTAGTACTTGTCAGGACACGTCCTCTCAATTCACCCTAAACATAAACAGTACGAGAAAGTATCAAGCGATACTCGGGTTTGGAGGTGCCATAACCGATTCCGCAGCTTTAAACATAAAGAAACTTAGCCCGGCTACTCAAGATCAGCTTCTTCGGTAATTATAAGTACCTACGTTTCTCAACTATTACATTAAATCATTAAATAAAGTACAGGACTGACCAGCGAATCGTAGAACCAACCAGCTACAACTACCGCAGTCAAATTTCCATTATCATGTTCATTTATTAGCACACATTTTGTTTAATTTATGATAGCAGCACATCCATTCGAATTCCTCTATTTTTAGAACGTATTACGATCCAAAAACTGGGAGCAAATATACTTTAGGTCGCATACCAATTGGTGGTACAGACTTTTCTACAAGAGTTTACACTTACGACGACAATTGCACTGACGATAAGACGTTGAAATGCTTTGCACTAGCACCAGAAGATTACGAGTACAAAATACCAATCGCAAAAAAGGCCGTTGAATTAAGCCCCAAAATGAAGTTTATAAGTGGCGTGTGGTCTCCACCTGTATGGATGAAGACGAACAACAAAATCAATGGATACCATGGTAAACTGGTATATTATTAAACGGAGAAGAAGACTGAAGTACAACAGTGGCGAACATATTCTTCTCTATTATAATACAAGACGTTTCCACCTATTAGAGATTGTACATAAGTAATGTTGTTTAATTGATACTTTAGTAGATTTAATTTAATTTAAGAGTTAATGGAGAGTTTTAATTTATGCTACAATCTTCATAATTATTAACGACATTATTGTACATTCGCTTCCGTAAAATCACTAATCATGGTTGTCATATTTAATAGGTTATTTGAAGCCAGAATACTATCAAGTCTATGCCGATTATATCTCGAAATTCTTGGACGCATATAAGCAACACGGTGTCGATATATGGGCAGTTACAACAGGCAACGAACCAAGCAATGGAGACGATGTACCTCCGTTGCCTATAAACGCTATGGATTGGACTCCGAGCACATTAGGTACATGGGTCGCTAATAACTTAGGACCAACTCTTGCTGCATCGGCACACGACACACTAATTTTGGCTCTTGACGATAATTTAAATTTGTTACCATGGTATGTCCAGTTAATTGCTAGGAATGAAAAAGCAAATAATTACATTGCCGGAATAGCGTCGCATTGGTACAAGGATAACGCAATGTCCACATTATTAGACCAAGTATTAGACCAAACGCACGATGTATTTCCAAACAAGTTTCTTCTCATGACCGAAGCATGTTCTGGTAGGTTCTCAAGCTTATACACAATTAATTACATGGTCACAAACTAGAAATTGATTAAACGTAACCTTTTCGTATAGGAGGCCGGTTTCAGACAGCTGTTGATTTAGGATCATGGGATCGCGGAGCGGGATATGTTTCGAGCATAATAGACGTAAGTTTCATTCATTTGTTTGTAGTCATCTTAATCGCAAAAAATTTTTGTCGATTGTTGCATTGAAAGTAATACTAATTAAAGATACCTTGATTTAAGTATTTGAATCATTGGTACGTCGGATGGATGGATTGGAATATAGTTCTAGACGAACATGGTGGTCCTAACTGGCTTAACAATAAGGTTGATGCGCCAATTATTGTAAATGCAACGTCAGATGAATTTTACAAACAACCCATGTATTATGCTCTAACGCATTTCAGCAGATTCGTTGACAGAGACTCTGTCAGGATTTCTATTACCAATACGGCCTCGATCAAGTCTGTGGCCTTCCTAACACCTTCGAATGAAATTGTTGTTGTACTGTACAATAGGTAATGGAAACGGCTATTATTATTTCACGTACTGCGGCCTTTTACCAAGAATTTTTATTGAAAATTTTACTTTATTTCCGTAATTAAAATTCTATTTCGTGTTTCAGGGCTAACATTACAGAATCCGTGACTCTTAATCATCCGCAGAAGGGCACTCTTTGCTTGCCATTATCTCCAAATTCTTTCAATACTATCAAATATAAACTGTAATGAATACGTTTAGTTATCAGTGCTGAAATGTTTCTGAATTGCTTGGGAACCATTTTCTGACCTTTTCAATACAAATTAAGTTATAAATAATATACCGTTATACGCTTACGTATGTATATGTATATAAAGTTATAAATAATATAATTTTCGATATAAATAAAGCGGAACCTTCGAACTAAGGCTTGTAAAAAAATGTTGTTCTCTGGTTTAATGGATTACTCCATTTCTGTGTATCCGAAATAGAACACTGAGGTGTTTCTTAGTCAGTATGAGTGCAGTTATGTTACAAACTAAGATAACAAAGAAACATGTTAATCGTGACAATGTAGAATTTTGTGAATCAATTTGTGATTGCCACGGTCTGAAGATTGAAAATCTATCACACTGTGCGCGGTAAGAAACTTTCGGAGGAGGCTGGAGTGTTAACAGCCGCATCGTAAACCTTGAACGAGATTGCAGGCCATATCAAGTAGCTACGGGTAGTTGCTAGTTCTTCTTCATCTTCCGCAAGTGGGTGTCGTCATCTCGGAAAGCTCTCTGCCCGTCCAACGTAATCGCGACGTCGTCTCGGACGGTTTATGGCTCGTCGTCGACATTGTTCCCATTTCTTGCTATGCATTATTAATAACTGTGCTGTCAACACGGTGGCTGTCGACGACAAAGCTCGCGTAAATCACTAAAGAGTCGTCTGACTCGATTCAACGATTCTCGTACGCCTTAATTGAATCGGGGTTCATCGGCACTCGCAGCGGTACCATACCGGGTGTGTTTAAAATAAAGCTGGCCAAACTTTGGTACCATATTCTACTCTGTCTAAAGATAAAAAAAAGTAAAAGAAGTTCCTAATTGTATTAAGAAAAAAAAATGTATAAACTTTTTAGATTGGACATAGAGCTTCTGGCTATCGAATTAGGACCACATGCAAGATTTTCAATTTTCTAACTACGACACTATATAAATGACGAATAGTCGTTTCATTGTTCAAATTAATACTGACTGTACAATAACAATTAATCGACATTCTGACAAATAAGAAACGGGATTTGTTCATTTATAATTGCCGCGTGAAACATGAAAACAAACTTTTGGGGAAGTTGGTTCCGATGTATCCATCTTTCATGTAGAATTTCGACGTTGTATGTCAACTAGTTCGTTTACAACTATTAGTTTTGTTAGTCGACGTCAAGGTTGCTTTGCGATTTTTTAAATAGATATCGAACGACGAATTTGCCTCAAAATTTGTGTCGACAAGAGAATCAAATCCACACAAACTCGAAAAAGCAAGGAGACTCAAAAATTATTAATGAGAAAAGAGGATTATAAAGGAATCTCCCAAGGCACTCTGTAGTATCGCTCAAGAGAATCCAATATAAAAAAACCCAAAGTTAGTCAGGTCTCGATAGGGAGACGTTGAGGTATCGAGTTGTCGAACAGCTCCTAAGCAGGCCAGAATTCTCCTCCGTCCTTGATCTGCTAACTGTAGCGCCGCAGATAGGTTCCTAGCTAGCCCGATTTTACACTATAGATTTCCTACCCTTCCAAGCTAATTGTAAGCATCGCGTCCCAGACGGTTACAAAACTGGCCAGATTCACGCTCTAGTACCTCAGCTGCGCCACACCTCTCCTTCCTCACCTATTCCCCTTTCCCTATTTCCCACCTGGGATCCTCTCACCCTTAAAATACATCGTGGAGACTGACACCACGTTACAGAACAATAAAATCAAGACACTTTTCAGGACACTTTTCCCAATGTTTAATAATTTCAATTGTTAATTATTATTGAAAACGTATCTGACAGAATACACATTATACAGACAAATATAGAGAATACTCATAGCGTGTTTTTCCCAAGGACGGACAAGTCTTTTTGCATCAGATCTGACTTTTTCTCCGCCATGTTCAACAAAGTTTGCACGTGCTGGACCTCGATCGAAGATAAAGTGGACTCTAAATCCGGCAAAATAGCGTCAGTTATGCTCAAAGACGCCAGCTCACCGATATCCGCGTTGTCACGATCCGACAGCACACGTTTCAGTTTCTTTATATACTTCTTCAAACTACTTTGCATAGCTATGCCAGCCTTGGAGTCCCGACGAGGGAGCTTTAACCCCTCAGGACCGTTCACTTTCGTCCCTCCTCGGCTGGGTTCCGTTTTCTCCGACTTGGCGGTTTTCAAACTCCTCCTGTCTATGAAAGGAGACTTGCTCGACCTGCCCTGTAACACTCCCGCTACGGAATCCTGCGCATTGGTGCTCACCTTTGAACCCGCAATTCTTTGTTGCTGAATTTTCAAAGTCGAAGAAAATTTACTGTCCGTAGAAAATCCAGATCTAGGAGTCGTTGTTAAATGCTTCGTAGCTCCTGCGGCCCTTCTTCGATTAAAGTCGCTCGTCAGTTTGGCAACGTTCTCCTCTTCTTTGCTTCTTAAATCTTTGCTTCTACTCCCCGAATCGATAGTATTCCCCTTTCTTTCGAAGTTTGATTTCAAATTTGTGCCTGCCCTCGGCCGTCGATTCTCTGATGACTTTCTCTCGTACTCTCTGGCGTCTTCGTTCGTCAACTCTTTCCTTTCGGTGTTTTTGTTCGCGTCAGAACTCGCGGGAGCGTTTTCGCCAAGTTCGTCTTTGGGTGGCGACAGGTTCATCGAAAGTTCTCGTCTAGGAGCAGCTGGTTTCGCGAGCACAGGACTGACGGTTCTTGATCTCTGTCTTGCGTCGCGGTAACGTCTAGCAAACTTGTCAACGCGGCTCTGTTTCGCAGGAAACTCCGAATCCGCAGGCTTCTTCTGCTCAGCTGGTGCTTCCTCCATGGGGGAATTGATAGACTTAGGTGTTTGAACTCTTGCGGCAGTTTCGGTTACGAATTTTGGCGATGTACGGCTTGGATGACCTAGGAGATGGTCGGTTGTAATGGAAATTCGATATTTAGAAGAGGATCTTTTTAATGGAGACTGAAATTGTTGAGAACGAGTAGAAAGAAACAAAAGATAAATTGGAATTAATACGAAGTACTATTTGAATTATAGACGGTTAAACCTGACGATAAGAAGCCGTTACTAACCACTTAAGTTACTCAGTGTCCTAGTTGACGAGATAGTCGGCACCATATTCATCGACAACGTGTTCGCGTTTACCATCTCTTGAGTCTCGCTTGGAATCACTTCCAATCTTCCCAGTTGATCGCTTTTGCAGTCGCTTCTTCTAGCGAACCAAGTCTTGCCACCGTTTCTGTTTTCCACTGCGTCATTTTTCGACTGGACAGACTGCTTGCCAGACTTCAATTTGGCACGTGTGCTCGAGCTCCTCAAAATCGAACCGTTTCTGGTCGTTTCGAGAGCCTTGGACGAAATTTTCGTAGTTTTCGCGTACTTCTTGTTGAAGGATGTTCGTGGATTTCCTGACATCCAGGGTTGAGTTTGAGATCTGTTTGGTGCGCGATGTTCAGAAGCGACGAACGAGTCGCGAGAGATGCAGGACTGGTCGTCTCGATGCTTGCTGGACTCACTGCGAACACTTTCAGAATCTATGGAACTGATCGTGGTGCAGTTCATAGATTCTCTCTCGCCTCCATCGATCGACGAAAGGGTTTCCCCTCTATTAGCCCGTTTCTGTGACCCGAAAAGCGTGTCCTGTTTCGAGCTAACCGAGTCCGTGCTAAAAGTCGTCCTAGGGAACTTTGTGGCACTCTTTTTTCTTGCCGAGCACGGAAACGTGGGTCTTTTCGTGATCGAGGAAGCGACGCCGGCGTTGAGCAGTTTGATCTTCGACGCTTTCGAACTTTTCTTCATGATCGAGTCTAGAACGCGCATGAATGTCGTATATTTATTTGAAAAGCGGAGTTCTTGGAACTTCTGTTGGAATCTATTTGATGATAGTTTAACAGTTAGGCAAAATCCGTCACAGAAGCCTGATTTATGTGATGTATTTGATAAAATAAAGTGGCTACTTGAAAATATAAAATATCAAAGACTGATAAATAGTATTATGTATCTTATACATTGTAAGAATATTTTGTTTTATATTTTATAGTTTTTATTTTACAGTCACAGAAATTTACATGAAATTAGTTTTGAATTAAAAATGATAGATGGAAAAATTGATATAGAGTCACGTTTGATTTAAAAACTGAAGTGTCAGTTTTTAGAGAGAACTCGAAAGACAGAAGAATGGATGGAAAAGTAAGATCTTATGATCAGAGATTGAAGGGCGGTGGAACGAAAGAAGATTGCACGAGCCAAGAAGATCGATCAAGTGGCTTATTGGGTCAGGATTCACACCCAGACCTTACCTTTGTCGGGTGATTGCTCCCTAATCGATTGAGGTAACAAGGTCTCCTACAGAATTCTTCTCTCGAAGAGTATAATCGTGTTGAGTAAAGAAGTAGATCGATACGAAGCTAAGTAAATAAAGAATGAGTCTCTGTACATGGTGTTTCAGAGATTGTAGAAGTAAAAACTTGGAGGATGAATTTCGCAAAGGGCAAAAATAATAGAATAATTTTACGCAAACATTTAAGTTTTTCTAGTATTTGGAGAATTCTGATCTTAAACTGAAGCACAGGAAACGATTTTACTTAATCATTAACAACCAACGCTTCATGTCTAATCTTATCCACAATTTTTGTTATTGTAACATTGGTAAATTAATCAATATTTGAGTTGCGCTACCCTTGATTTAACCTCTTAAATATTAATGGTTGAGAAACACTGAATTATAGTTACTTCTACCTATCCAATGCCTGGATTGAAATCTGAAACTATTATTCAACCACTTATTCAATTTGAGTACCAACTTATCCACGAACATGTAAATGAATGTCCTCAAGTGCACAGAGTAAATGATTTGCGTAGCCAAGAAATAACTCTCTCTCAAATACCATCACGATAGTCAACGAGCTAAATTCCTACCAAGAGTTCTCAATGGTTCCACCTAGAAACCGCTAAAAGCATTCTCAAAATACCTAAATCCTCATTGTGTTGCCTTTTCTGCCTCAAACTATTCGCAACAGGACTCTCGTCGTAAAACGAAATTCGCGGTGCCTTTTCCTCCAGGTCGGTCGAGTTATGAACCACGCTGACAGGTCGAGTTTCCGTCTCTCTGTCCGTGGTCTCGAGCTTCTGCGTGCCTTTCACCAGGAAGTGATCCAACGGATGCAAGTACTCCGTCTCTTTCTTGCTCA